CCCTTCCTCTTTTGTCCGACCTCGTTGGCCACCATAGTCCGGTACACTGGACTTGCTGCGAGCCTTGCAGCCGCGTATCCTCCGCGGTTGCCTCTCGGTCGACTTCCGCCGCCCAGCCGACTCGACCTTCCCACCGGCCTGGTCAGCTATTTCTTGGATCGTTTGCCCTCCCTCTTCTGTCCGACCTCGTTGGCTACCATAGTTCGGTACACTGGACTTGCTGCGAGCCTTGCAGCCGCGTATCCTCCGCGGTTGCCTCTCGGTCGACTGCCGCCGCCTCGGTCGACACCCCCTTCGCTCCTTCGCGCTTTCGCGCGCTCTCTCGCTCTCTCCTCGTCTCTCGCGTGTAGTCATCGTCATCCCCTCCGACGTTGCCTGTCACTTTTTTCAAGTTCGGCATTGCTAGCGACAGTCCCAGCTTCTCTCACCGCTCAGTCCCACACCCTGGACGAGCATTCCCGCCCCTCCCGCCCTTCGTCTTCGCGTCGTCCGCCTCCTCTCCGTTCGGCCTCTCGAGTTCGGCCTCTTTGACGACCGCGTGGTTCCTCCCCCCACCCCCCACCTCCCCCACCCCCCACCCCCCACCTCTTCTTACCGTCTCGTGACCGCCCTCGTTCGCCCTGGAATCGCTGTTGACTGTGAGTTGAGTGATCGCCATGGCCGCCGAGTGTGACACGTCGCGCGCCGCTGCGCAGCCAGCGCGCCGCGCCTCTTCGCAACCGCGACCCCGGCCGCGCGAACCCGCCCAAGTCCGCCTGCCACCACACTCGTTTCGCACCGCCGCCGCCTTATTGCATGGTCGCCTCGTGCCCGCCTCGTTCGTCCTGGAATCATCGACTGTCGTGTTGAGCGATCGCCATGGCCACCGAGCGCGACACGTCCTGCGCCGCTGCCGAAGACGGCCCGCCGTCCCCTTCCGCCAATCCGACCCCGGCCGAGCACGGCCAACTCCGACCGACCCGGCCGCGCGAAACCGCCTAAGTCCGCCCGCCGCCCAACTCATTCCGCACCGTCACCGCCTCGCCGCACGGTAGACTTCCTTCTGGGGGGATAGTGTCAGGAGCACAGCCTGCACTGCCATCAATACTCGAAGGAAGTCTCCCAAGTTTGCGGCCGGAGTCGACATCAGCTACCGGTTTGTTCGTTGCAAGCATTGTCGGCGCGATGGTGTAGTCGTGAGGGCGCGCGGGCGCGCACTCAGTGGTCGAGGGTTCGATCCGCCCGGAGCGTGATCTGCCTTTTGGTTTCTTTTCCTTTTTGTTATCCGAGGCCCGGCTTCGGGGTTTTTACCGGTGCCTTGCAGGCAATCCTTTTTACCCCTGAAGCGACCTCGTGGTGTAGTTATTTGATTCAGTCTTTCCTTCGCTCGGAGCACTTCCCTCCTTTTGCTTTTGCCACCCTTCCCCTAGAGCTTGGTCCACTCATTATCATGACTCGTACCCTCCCTCTTTTTACCCATTTCGCTGGCAATTAAGTCCGTTACACTTGATTTGCTGCGAAGCCTTCCGACCGAATCCACTCCTCGGTTGCTCTCGGTCGACTGCCGCCGCCCAGCCGACTCGACCTTCCCATCGGCCTGGTCAGCTATTTCTTGGATCGTTTGCCCTTCCTCTTTTGTCCGACCTCGTTGGCCACCATAGTCCGGTACACTGGACTTGCTGCGAGCCTTGCAGCCGCGTATCCTCCGCGGTTGCCTCTCGGTCGACTTCCGCCGCCCAGCCGACTCGACCTTCCCACCGGCCTGTCAGCTATTCTTGGATCGTTTGCCCTCCCTCTTCTGTCCGACCTCGTTGGCTACCATAGTTCGGTACACTGGACTTGCTGCGAGCCTTGCAGCCGCGTATCCTCCCGGTTGCCTCTCGGTCGACTGCCGCCGCCTCGGTCGACACCCCTTCGCTCCTTCGCGCTTTCGCGCGCCTCTCTCGCTCTCTCCCTCGTCTCTCGCGTGTAGTCATCGTCATCCCCTCCGACGTTGCCTGTCAGAAATGTCTTGTACTACGCTGATGCCGCGTCGCGCTTGTGTCATTATCCGGGGCCGGAAGTGTGTCGTCTCGCAAGGCGGAAAGGACTGCTTCGGTGAGCTCTTTCTGTGAGGAATCCACTCTCCGCTCGGCTCAGGACTTAGGCGCGCGGAGCGAACCGGGCGCGGACTTAGGCGCGCGGAGTGAGCCGGGCGCCCCGGCCCAGGACTTAGGCGCGCGAAGCGAGCCTGGGACTTAGGCGCGCGGAGCGAGCCTGGGCCATTGGCTCAGCCCCAGGCTCGCTGGCTGTGGACTTGGGGCGCGCGGGTCTCTTATTGTTAGCTTCCTATTCATCACTCTTGGCTATAACTACATCGCTGACGTAGTAGAGTTGATCGAATAGGTATGTTGAAATGCATTCATCACTCTTGGCTATAACTACATCGCTGACGTAGTAGAGGTTGATCGAATAGGTTATAAGCCCACGAGCTACCAGCCCCGCCGCTTGAGGCTTTTTCGCTCGAGCCCAGCCACTCGAGCCGCACACGTCCATCGCACCATCACATCATGGACAGCTCTCCCGCCTCGCCTTTGGCCCCCAGGGATCCCAGCTCCCCTGAATCTTCGATCGGCGAACAAATCGCCACTCTACAGGCCCAGCTTGCCGCTCTGCAGGCCTCGCAACCCGCCGCCGCCGCAGCCGCGCACCCCCGGCCGTCACCGTCGTGCCGGGGAACGCCGCCACCGCATCCAAGGTCGTGTTTCCCAAGCACGCTCGTCTGGACGGCCCCAAGTCGTTCACCAACTGGTTGCGTCAACTCCGTCTTGCACTCCCGAACCAGGTCGTGGTTACGTTCTCGACGGTGTCGTTCCCCCGACCTGGACCGCCGACCAGCTTGCCGCACGTGACGACGCGCCCGGGAAATCATCGTTGGCTCTATCGACTCCGCCGACGTATCGGCCACCCTCGACGCCATCCCCAGCGACGACCTGTCGGCACCGCGCATCTTTGCCGCTCTCAAGGCTCGTTTTGCACCGGACGACGCTACACGCACTCTCGAGTTGTTCGCTCGCCTTTGGGACTTCAGGAAGATGCCTGCCTCCGTCGAGGCCTACGACACTTGGCTACGCGAGTACATGTCGATTGCTCAGGAAATACGCGACGCCAAAACATCGCTCAACGACGTGCTCGCCACCCACGTGCTCGCCATGGTCCCGTCTTGCCTCGACAGCTTCCGACTCACGTTCACGGACGAGCAGCGAAACCGACGCGACCTTCCCGAACTCACGACGCTTACGGACCGCATTCGCATCCAGCTTCGTTCGGCAGGACTCTCGACCTCGCATTCGGCCATGCTTGCCACCAGCTCCCCCTGCCCCGCCTGCCGCGCTCCGGTCACCGCCTGCGCGACTGCACTTCACGTGCGAAGCACCCGCCCACCGCCCCTGCCGCCGATGCCACAAGAAAGGTCACTGGGCACTCGACTGCAAGAACCGGGGTGAACAGGCACGTAGCAGCGACGACACCCAGGACGACACGTCTTCCTCCGCGGCCTCGCAACCGAACGTCGGCTATTTCGCCTCCTGCCTCTTCGCTCGTCGCCAACTCCCAACTGACGCCTTTGTAGTCGATTCGGGTGCCACGACACACATGGTCGCCGACCGATCTCTATTCACGACTTATCGTCAGACGGCACACACCAAGATCGGCGGCATCGCGGGCGGCATCACGGCTATCGGCATGGGGGACGTGGCATTCGTCGCCAAGACTGGACACCCGATCACGCTCCGTGGTGTTCTTCACACGCCTGGCCTACACGTCAACCTCCTCTCTGTCTCTCGCCTCTGCGACACCGACCGCGTTCGTCTCGCCTTCACCAGCGACGGCATCGACATCGCCAAGGACGGCCGGGCCATTGCTCACGGTACCAGGGTCAACGACGGTCTTTACCTTTTGGACGCGGATCACACCAAGTGTCAGCATCTTGCCTTCCTCTCACGCTCTGAGTCTCCCGTGCCCCTGCTTACCCTACACCGCTGCCTCGGCCATCTTGCCCCATCCTCTATACAGAAGATGATTGCTGCAGGTTTGCTGGACGGGTTTGGGGCCGGGTACAGTGACAAAGACGTAGAGGAGTTTGTTTGCAATGCTTGCCTTGGTTCCAAAGGTCACCGCCTTCCCTTTCCCGACTCTGAGTCGCATTCCGCCGAGAGACTTGGCCTCGTGCACAGCGACGTCCTGTCGTTCCCCACTCCGTCCTTGACCGGGAAGCGCTACCTTGTCACGTTTCTAGACGACCACTCTCGCAAACTCTGGGCATATGCGATCGATCACAAAAGCGATGTTTTCCCGACCTTCCAGACTTGGCTCGCCGAAGTGGAGTTAGAGACGAACGCGCGGTTGAGGATCCTTCGAACCGACAATGGCGGGGAGTACCGATCAAACGCATTCACGGAGTTCTGCAAATCCAAGGGCATTCGTCGTCAATACTCTATCCCTTACACGCCTCAACAAAACGGTCGCGCCGAACGTGTCAACCTCTCCATCGTCGAGGGCGTCCTCGCTCTCCTTGCGGACGCCCGTCTGCCGGCCACCTTTTGGGATGAAGCGGCTGCGTATTTCGTTTATTGCAAAAACAGGTGCTCACACTCAGCTTTGGCCAAACAGACTCCAGAATCCGTTTGGAACGGCCAACGCACCACCGCCACCGCCCTCCACCCGTTCGGCTGCACAGCCTGGCTCACGGTCGCCCCGGACCTTCGCAGCAAGCTCGACCCCAAGGCCGCGCGCGTGATCTTCACAGGTTACGACCTCGCCTCCAAAGCTTTCCGTTTCTTTGACCATTCCATCAACAAGATTGTACTTGGTCGCAATGCCACCTTCCTCGACGACGACTTCCCCGGCCTGCCAGTCACCACGCCCGTCGATGCAGACGACACCGACCGTCAGTTCGTCGTTCCCGCCGACACGCCCGCCCCTGCCGTCAAGACGAGGACCCCACTAGTAAGGTCGGCGCACATGGACGTCTCATCCTCCCTTGATGATTCTGCCATGAGCGCCGTTGACGTGGCCCCAGGGTACACTGGCGGAACCTTACTTAATTCCACAGATACCGAATCGTCCTCGTCACCGTCTCCTGAGCCGTCCTCGTCACCGTCGCCCACAAACCCTTTGTCACCGTCGCCTGCGCTGTCACCGTCGTTGGCAGCGTCATCGTCACCCTCGGTCTCACCGACCGACTCTGACTACTCCGCCGACCCTCTGGACCTCATCGGCTCACAGACCCCGACTCGCCTTGGCCCACCGGACGTGCACCGCCCAGACTTCAGCACGTACCGTGAGCCCGCATCGGCTGAGGAGTCGCCCGACGAACTCGACATCATTGGGCGTCACTCGCGCGATGAATCGCCGGATGAAATCGATTTCCTCACCCAACAACACCGCGCCTTCATCGCCACAGACGACGACGACCCCACCCTCGACGCCATCGAGCCCGTCAAATCGATCACTAGCGACCCCCAGACCTGGCGCGAAGCAATGTCCAGCGACGAGCACAACATCTGGGCTGAGGCCGCCGCCGCCGAGTTCACCGCCATGCGCGACGACTTCAAGGTGTTCACCATCGAGCCTCGCTCATCTGTACCGCCGGGCGCCACCATCGTCACCTCCAAATTCGTCTGGAAGACCAAGCGCAACGCAAGCGGTGAAGTCACGGGGCGGAAGGCACGTCTTGTAGCGCAGGGTAACCGACAGCGCGACGGCATCGACTTCTCAGAAACCTTCGCACCCGTCGCCCGTTTCTCCTCCATTCGCTGCCTCCTGGCTCTTGCCGCTGCCAATGGCTACCACGTTCATCAGGCCGACATCGACAAGGCTTACCTCCACGGCGAGCTCGATCATGATATCTGGATGACGACACCACGCGGTTTCGACTTCCCGAGCGATAAGGTTCTCCGGCTGCGACGCTCAATCTACGGTCTCAAGCAGGCCGGTCGCATCTGGAATCGTCACATTGACACATCACTCAGGAATCTGGGGTACAAGGCAACAGGCACTGATCACTGCATTTACTCTCGCATTGACGATCAGCAGCGGCCTCACTATATCGCCTTGTATGTCGACGACCTCCTCATTGTCAGTCCAGCCCTCGACGAGATCGAACGTGTCATCTCCGGCCTTGAACAGCGGTACGGCGTCAAACGACTCGGCCCCGCGGAGTACATCCTCGGAATCCAAATACGCCGCCTGGACGACGGTTCCATTGCTCTATCCCAGGAGCGCTACATCATGGACGTGCTGGCCCGTTTCCACTTCGACACCACGACACGCGGCACTACGGTGCCGATGACGCCCGGCCTCTCGCTCACGGCAATTCCGGGTCAGGGAACGGAGCGCATTCGTTCGTGGTACCTACAGGCCATCGGCTCCCTCCTCTACATCTCCCTTGGCACTCGACCCGACATTGCCTTCGCCGTCTCGTACCTGTCCCGGTTCGCCAACAACCCCGGCCGCCGCCATTGGATTGCCGTCAAACACGTCCTTCGCTACCTTCGCGCCACGTACCGCGATGAGCTTCTCTATGCCCGCGGCCCAGCAAAAGTCACGGGTGTGGTTGGTTATTCTGATGCGAACTGGGGCGCCTGCGTCGACACATCCATTTCAACGATGGGCTACGTATTTTACTTGGCAGGCGCCGCTGTCTCTTGGTCGTCGAAGCGTCAGACTCGGGTAGCGGATTCCACCACTGATGCCGAGTACCTGGCCTTGTCGCACGCGGGTAAGGAAGCGATCTACCTTAACCAACTCCTCTCCGAGCTCCACGTTTGCCCAATCGCTGTGAAGAGTCCACTCTCAGCTCGACAGGGGCGCCTCGGTCGTTGCGCGCACTTGCTAGCCCGCCCCCGGCGGTGGGGACTTAGACGCGCGCGACTGCCTCAGCGCGCCAGCGCCGGCGGATTCATGCGCGCGCCCGCTAGCCCGCCCCTTGCGGTGGGGACTTAGGCGCGCCGGCGATTTCACCCGCGGCTGACTTAGGGATGTACATTGTCACGCGCCTGGGACTATCCCAGCGTGGCCCCCCCCTTTCTGTTTCTTAGCTTCCTTCTCATCACTTCTGTTCGACTCTCAACCTCTCCTGACAGTAGTGGTGAACGTCTCATAGGTTATAAGCCCACGAGCCACCAGCTGGCATGACCACGACACCACCCTCGCGACGGGTGCCAACCCTCCGATTCCCGCCGAACAGCTCGCCGCACTTACATCGCTGCTGTCGGGTCTCACCGCTGCCGCTTCCGGCACTGCCACACCCGCCACGACGTCCGGCACCACTCGCACTGCCTTTCCAAAGCACGCACGCTTGGATGGTGCGAAGACCTTCGCGAACTGGACACGCCAACTTCGCCTGTGCCTAGCGGACGACATCCGCTCGTACGTCCTCGACGGTATCGCACCCGACGACTGGACACCTTCGCAACGCTCCGCTCGCGACGCCGTCGCTCGTGAGGTCCTTGCGAATTCGATTGACTCGGCCGAAGTCTCGGCAGTCCTCGACAAAATCCCTACCGCCGACCTGACAGCGCCGACAATCTACTCGACGCTGAAATCGCGGTACGCCCCTGACGACGCCACCCGCACGCTCGAGCTCTTCTCACGACTCTGGGGTTTCCGTCCCATGCCCGGCACGGTTGCCGAATTCGACGGGTGGATCATGGACTTCAAAGCCGTTGCGCAAGAGATCATCGACACAAAGACAACTATCAATGATGTTCTCGCCACACTCCTCCTTGCAATCGCCCACCCGTCCCTCGAGAGCTTCAAGGCGTCGTTCACCGATGAACAGCGCACGCAACGAACTCTCCCCGACATTGATTCGCTTGCCGACCGTATGCGAGTCCAACTTCGGTCAACGAACATCCCCAGCACTCAATCGGCCCTTCTTGCCTCGTCGTCGTCACGTTCTACTCGTCTCAAGTGTCTCGCCTGTCGCAGCCCTTCGCACCGAGTCGCGGAGTGCCCTACGAGGGCGCAACACCCGCCGCCAGGACCCTGTCGCTCCTGCAAGAAGAAGGATCACTGGTCTCTCGACTGCAAGAAGGCGCTCGAGGACGGCAAAAAGCCCGACACCGCTGACTCGACCGTCGACTCGCAACACCATGTCGGATGTCTCGCCACCGGTCTTCTCGCTCGTCGTCGCCAGCTTCGCAACCACTCTTTTGTCGTCGACTCGGGCGCCACTTCGCACATGGTCTCGGACAAGTCGCTGTTCACGACCTATCGCCATATCGCTCCTACGAAGATTGGTGGTATTGCAGGGGGCATCAACGCCATCGGAACGGGAAACATCGCCTTCATTGCCGCCTCGGGTCATCCGATCACGCTTACCGGCGTGCTGCACACTCCGGGCCTGTTTGTCAATCTTCTCTCGGTCTCTCGACTTTGCGACACCGACGATGTCCGTGTCGCCTTCACAAAACACGGCATCCACATTGACAAGGACGGCAACGACATCGCTGAAGGCGCACGACTCGACGAAGGGCTCTACTTGCTGGACGCTGATCATTCCAAATGTCAGCACCTTGCTCTCCTTTCTCGCTCACAGTCGTCCGTGCCCCTGCTGACTCTCCATCGCTGCCTCGGCCATCTCGCACCGTCCTCCATACAGAAGATGGTTGCCGCTGGTTTGCTGGAGGGTCTCAGGGCCGGATATAGTGACGAAGAGGTAGAGAAGTTTGTCTGCAATGCTTGCCTCAGCGCAAAGGGCCATCGTCTTCCCTTTCCCGATTCGGATTCGCACTCCTCAGAGAGACTCGGCCTTGTACACAGCGATGTGCTTTCCTTCCCCGAGCGGTCCTTGACTGGCAAACGTTACCTGGTCACATTCCTTGACGATTACTCGCGCAAACTCTGGGCCTACGCAATCGGACACAAAAGCGAAGTCTTCGGCATATTCAAAACTTGGCTAGCCGAGGTTGAACTCGAGACGGGTGCGACGCTGAAGGTCCTCCGAACCGACAACGGTGGCGAATACTGTTCGAGAGCGTTCACAGAGTTCTGCAAGACACGAGGCACCCGTCGACAATACTCTATCCCACGCACGCCTCAACAGAACGGTCGTGCAGAGCGGGTCAATCGTTCCATTGTCGAAGGCGTCCTTGCCCTCCTTGTCGACGCCCACCTACCCAAGACATTCTGGGAGGAGGCTGCAGCTTATTTCGTTTACTGCAAGAACCTGTGTCAACACGCGGCCCTGGACAAGGCAACACCAAACTCCGTCTGGCAGGGTGACCACACCACTGCCTCGGCGCTTCACCCGTTCGGCTGTACAGCTTGGCTTACGGTCGCGCCCGAACTTCGCTCCAAACTCGACCCGAAGGCGGTTCGCGTTTTTTTCACCGGCTACGACCTGGCTTCAAAAGCCTTTCGCTTCTACGACACTACAACACAGAAGATTATACTTGGCAGAAATGCCACGTTCCTCGACACTGAATTCCCCGGATTACATGGCGACCCCACTGAGCAAGACGGCGACACGCACTTCGCCAGCGCTCCCACCACCGAATCTCAAACCGTTGTCAAGACATGGACCCCACTAGTAAGGTCGGCGCACATGGACGTCTCATCCCCCTTGATGATTCTGCCATGAGCGCCGTTGACGTGGCCCCAGGGTACACTGGCGGAACCTTACTTAACTTCACAGATGCCGAATCGTCCTCGTCACCGTCGCCTGCGTCGCCCTCATCACCGTCGTCTGCGCCATCGCCTGCACTTTCACCATCGTCGGCTGCGTCATCGTCACCCTCGGCCTTACCGACCGACTCTGAAGACTCCGCCGATCCCCTCGACCTCCTCGGCTCACAGCCCCAGGTTCGCCTCGATCTACAGGACGTGCACCACCCAGACTTCAGCACGTACCGCGAGCCCGCATCGGCTGAGGAGTCGCCCGACGAACTCGACCTCATTGGGCGCCACTCTCGCGACGAATCTCCGGACGAAATCGATTTCCTCACCCGACACCACCGCGCCTTCATCGCCATCGACGACGACACCTCTGACACAGAGGCAATTCAGCCAGTCAAGTCCATCACGAGCGACCCACAGACCTGGCGCGAGGCGATGTCTAGCGACAAGCGTGAAGTATGGGCCAAAGCCGCCACCGACGAGTTCACCTCCATGCGCGACGACTTCAAGGTCTTCACCATCGAGGACCGAGCCACGGTGCCCGCGGGTGCGACTATCGTTACATCCAAGTTCGTCTGGAAAACGAAACGGAACGCACTCGGCGAAGTCACTGGACACAAGGCAAGGCTGGTCGCGCAAGGCAATCGGCAACGCGACGGCATCGACTTCAACGAAACGTTCGCACCGGTCGCACGCTTCTCCTCGATACGCTCACTCCTCGCGCTGGCGGCCGCCAACGGCTTGCACGTGCACCAGGCGGACATCGACAAAGCATATCTGCATGGCGACCTTGACCACGACATCTGGATGACGGCACCGCGCGGCTTCGACCTTCCCAGCGACAAGGTGCTTCGCCTGCGACGCTCCATCTACGGGCTCAAACAGGCTGGCCGAATCTGGAATCGACACATCGACGCTTCGCTTCGGGCCCTCGGTTACACGGCGACGGGCACCGACCACTGCGTATACTCTTGGCTCGATGATCGTCAATGTCCACACTACATCGCACTGTACGTCGACGACCTCCTGATGATCAGCCCGGAACTGGCCGAAATCGAACGTGTCATCTCAGGCCTGGACCAACGCTACGGAGTCAAGCGCCTCGGCCCGGCCGAGTATATCCTCGGCATCCAGATCAGGCGGTTCGACGACGGCTCTATCGCCCTATCCCAGGAACGGTACATCATGGACGTGCTCGCTCGGTTCCACTTCGACACCACGACTCGCGGCACTACAGTTCCGATGACTCCCGGCCTTTCGCTCACTGCTATCCCGGGTCAAGGCACCGAACGGATCAGGTCATGGTATCTGCAGGCTATCGGCTCGCTCCTCTACATTTCGCTCGGTACCCGCCCTGACATCGCCTTCGCCGTGTCCTACCTGGCCCGCTTCGCCAACAACCCCGGTCGTCGTCATTGGATTGCGGTCAAGCACATCCTACGCTATCTCCGGGCCACGTATCGCAACGAACTCGTGTATGCTCGCGGCCAGGCTCGCATCACGGGTGTGGTAGGCTACTCCGACGCGAACTGGGGGGCCTGCATCGACACATCGGTGTCCACCATGGGCTACGTCTTCTACATCGCTGGCTCGGCCGTGTCCTGGTCGTCCAAACGCCAGTCTCGAGTTGCCGATTCGACCACCGACGCTGAATACCTCGCCCTCTCGCATGCTGGCAAGGAAGGGATTTACCTCAGTCAGCTGCTCGAAGAGCTCCATGTACAACCTGTTGCACCGGCTCACATCTTTACTGACAACGAAGCCGCTGCTGCAGTTGCTCACGATCCTGTCCGCGTCTCTGGCACTCGGCACATACGCTTGCGTGAGCACTTCGTTCGGGACATGGTGAATCGGGGCGACATCTCTCTCTCGCATGTGGGTACCAGCGACATGGTGGCCGACATCTTCACCAAGGCTCTCGGCCCAAAGGTCTTCTCAACGCACTGCTACGCCCTCGGCCTTCGCACTCGACACCCGCGGCTTGGGTCTGCCTCGCATTCGCGTGGGGGGGGGTGTGAAGAGTCCACTCTCAGCTCGACAGGGGCGCCTCGGTCGTTGCGCGCACTTGCTAGCCCGCCCCCGGCGGTGGGGACTTAGACGCGCGCGACTGCCTCAGCGCGCCAGCGCCGGCGGATTCATGCGCGCGCCCGCTAGCCCGCCCCCTTGCGGTGGGGACTTAGGCGCGCCGGCGATTTCACCCGCGGCTGACTTAGGGATGTACATTGTCACGCGCCTGGGACTATCCCAGCGTGGCCCCCCCCTTTCTGTTTCTTAGCTTCCTTCTCATCACTTCTGTTCGACTCTCAACCTCTCCTGACAGTAGTGGTGAACGTCTCATAATCGCTGCAGCTCACATCTTCACCGACAACGAGGCCGCGGCCGCCGTCGCTCACGACCCCGTTCGCACCTCCGGCACCCGGCACATTCGCCTCCGCGAGCATTTTGTCCGTGACATGGTCAATCGAGGTGATATCTCTCTCTCACACGTTGGCACAGCAGACATGGTTGCGGACGTATTCACCAAAGCGCTAGGCCCCAAGATTTTTGGTACACATTGCTATGCTCTAGGCCTCCGGACGCGACATCCACGGCTCAAGTCTACCTCGCGTTCGCGTGGGGGGGGTGTGAGGAATCCACTCTCCGCTCGGCTCAGGACTTAGGCGCGCGGAGCGAACCGGGCGCGGACTTAGGCGCGCGGAGTGAGCCGGGCGCCCCGGCCCAGGACTTAGGCGCGCGAAGCGAGCCTGGGACTTAGGCGCGCGGAGCGAGCCTGGGCCATTGGCTCAGCCCCAGGCTCGCTGGCTGTGGACTTGGGGCGCGCGGGTCTCTTATTGTTAGCTTCCTATTCATCACTCTTGGCTATAACTACATCGCTGACGTAGTAGAGTTGATCGAATAGGTATGTTGAAATGCATTCATCACTCTTGGCTATAACTACATCGCTGACGTAGTAGAGTTGATCGAATACTTTCCAGATTCTTGTGCCGTCGGGTGTGTCTCTCTTGGCGTCCGCTGTGCCCCTGATCGACATCGACGAACCCGACCGACCTGTCGAGCCCGCCATTGTACGCGCCCGCAACGTCATCGCGTGGACGCTACCTTCTGGAAGGGTTTTGCGATGTTTGATCGACTCGGGATCAGAGGTCGACTTGGTGGATCAGGAGGTGGTGCGAGTCGACCCGAGCTTCGCAACGGCCCGTTTGACTGCGCCGTTGCATTTGCGCCTCGGCACCCAGGATAAGTCCGACCGATGTGCTGTGTTCGCCACCGCTCCTTTTTCGTCTGGTGCCCTAGATCTCGGTTTGCGACCATTCTTCGTTTGCCGGGTAACGGCGTACGACGCCATCTTGGGGCTGCCATTTCTTAAGGACACAGGCATGCTCGTTGGTTGGGGCGCCTTCACCGTCGCGCGCACCGGCCCTTCGCAACCCGTCGCCCAGGATACGCACGAATGGGACCGAGCCGTCACCGTAGCACCTATCTTATCTGGTTCTGCCATTGGCTGCAATCACCCTGGGTTGCTCCCCGACGACGAGATCATCGGCCTCGAGCCACACAACCCGCTGCTTGATGTCGTCGACGATCCGGCGCTCGACGATTTCTCTGAGTCCGAAGCACGAACACGATTGGCTGCCTTACTCGAGAAATTTTCTGATGTGTTCGTAGATTCGCTACCGATGGACCAACTCCCACCGTACCGGCCAGTCAACCACGAGATCCCGTTGATCGATCCCACCGAAAAGGTCAAACCCCGGGTATACCTGTGAGGAATCCACTCTCCGCTCGGCTCAGGACTTAGGCGCGCGGAGCGAACCGGGCGCGGACTTAGGCGCGCGGAGTGAGCCGGGCGCCCCGGCCCAGGACTTAGGCGCGCGAAGCGAGCCTGGGACTTAGGCGCGCGGAGCGAGCCTGGGCCATTGGCTCAGCCCCAGGCTCGCTGGCTGTGGACTTGGGGCGCGCGGGTCTCTTATTGTTAGCTTCCTATTCATCACTCTTGGCTATAACTACATCGCTGACGTAGTAGAGTTGATCGAATAATACCCCCTTGCCGACAAATATCGCAGCCAGTGGGCGGAACACTCAGCTAAGTACACTCGTGGTCGATTCTGGGTTTCGGGTCCGATCGATTCTGCGGCTCCGGTCTTTGCCATTCCGAAGAAGAACTCCCAGACGGCTCGTTTCGTGATCGACCTCCGCGCGCGCAACAGCAACACCGTCAAGCGTTTTTCGCCCATCCCGGACATGACCAATGTTCGATACGAGGTGGCTCGATCGCGTTATCGCTCTAAATTCGACGTGGCCGCGGCATTTGAGCAGGTTCGGGTCATACCGGAGCACGTCGATCGCACCGGCTTCGCAACGGTGACGGGCACGTACACGTCGCGGGTCATGCAGTTTGGTGACACCAATGCGCCCAATACCCTCAACCTCTTAACCTCGGCGATGTTCCAGCCGTGTCTCCCGTTCGCCAAGATCTTTTTCGACGATGTCCACGTCCATTCCGATACCCGTCGCGCGCACTTGAGACACATCAAGATCCTGCTGATGACATTGAGACATTACCGGTTCTACTTAGGATCCAAGAAGTCCGAGTGGTTCTCAAAGTCGTTGGACTCCTTGGGCACCATCATTTCCGACGTCGGCATCGAAGTCGACCCCGCCAAGTGGGTGCGTATCCGTCAGTGGCCGATCCCGTGCAACAAGACCGATGTCCAGCGCTTCCTCGGCACCGTCAACTGGATGCGAGATCACCTACCGCACCTCTCAAAGATTTTGGAGCCGATCACCGCGTTAATGGCGCAATCGACGTCATGGCGTTGGAACGAGCGAGAACAGCAGGCTTTCGATACCGTCAAGTCCCTTGTGCCCGCCATCCTACGACCGATCGATGGCGCCAAGGTTACCTCGGGCGAGCACAAGATGTACCTCTTCACGGATGCCAGTCGGGTTGGCATTGGCGCTTGTTTGGCGTCCGGGCCCAACCGTTCGCAGGCCGTTCCAACGCGATTCTTTTCCGCTAAGTTCAACGGTGCTCAGCTCAACTATCATGTCACTGATAAAGAGTTCTTGGCTGTCGTCTCGGCGTGTCGGGCGTTCGAGCAGCACTTGATCGGTTACCCCTTCGTCATCGTCACCGACCATCAGGCCCTTCGCACGATAAAAACCCAAAAACTGCGCCAAACGCCTCGGCACATCCGCATGTGTCTCGAACTTAGCCGTTTCGACTTCGAATTTGAATTCATTGCTGGCAAGAACAACACCCTGGCCGATTCGTTGTCGCGTCTGTGGGAGGTCAAGGAGGGATCGCACGAGGATCAGGTCAAGGAGAATGAGTTGGAGGACATGTTCTTTGATGGAGAACGCCACGAATTCACTACACCCGGTGAGAGCCTCCCTGAGGAACGTCCTTGCACTTCACCATCTCCCGATCGGTTGCCTCCTGTTGATTTTGCCCTCGGGCCCCAACACGACGATTGCGAGGCAGGCTCTCCCGGATACTACGCGCTCAAGGAGGAATCGCAAGACGAGGACGTGAATGGACAGGAATTAGGGAATTTGTTCTTGAAGGAAGAATGCCACGAGTTCATTACGCCCGGTGAGAGCCTCCTCGAGGAACGTCCTTACACCTCACCTTCGCACGATCGGTTGCCCCCTGTTGATTGCGCCTTCGGGCCCTGGGGTCACGGTTACGACGCAGGCTCTCCCGGTTCCCCTCATCTGGCCGAGAACATTATGGACGCCGTCGATTCGTCTATCGGCCGCCTCTCTCCTCCCATCGCTGTCAATCGAGTTCACGCTATCGCTGCGGCTCCCGCCAACGACCCGCCCATTCCGGTCGATGCCGACGCCGACGAACTCGATTTGTTGGGAGTTGCCACCGATGACGTCAACGACACCCCTGTAGTCCATCGGCCGCCTGATCCACTGCCCCAACCCTTCCTCGACACCGTCATCCGAGCATACGCCAACGATTCGCAAGCCCAGGTCATCATTACCGACCCGCTATCATGGCCTATGTTTCGGGTGACCGAGGAAGGGAGGATTTTGCGTGTACATCCAGATGAGTCTCTTTCCTTGTTTGTGCCTCGTGGTCTCGCTACTGGCGTCGTCAACTCCGACAAGGTCCCATCGCTGCGCGAGCTCGTGCTTTCGGAGATTCATCGAAGTGTCGGGCATGCAGGACATCGCATCACCTTGGCCGCCATCCGTCCTTTGTACTGGTGGTCGTCCATGTCTGCCGATTGCGCCGAGTTCTGCCGTTCATGTGAAGACTGTACCCGAGGCAAGGCGTCCACTCAAGTCCCCTATGGCCGACTGCATCCGATGCCGATCCCTTCTGGTCCTTGGGAACAAGTGGCCATCGACTTCATGACAGGACTGCCTCCGGTCGAGCTCGAAGGGATGATGGTTGCTCAAATCATGGTGGTCACTGACACTTGGGGCAAGATGGTCCACCTGATTCCCCTCCCAGCCGATGCCGACTCGGAGCTCGTTGCCGAGAAGTACTACGCCACCGTCTTCCGACTGCATGGGATGCCTTCCGCCATCGTTTCCGACCGTGATCCCAAGTTCACCTCGCAGTTTTGGCGGGCATTGCAGGCAAAGATTGGCACCGTCTTGCGAATGTCAACCGCGGCACACCCCGAGACGGACGGATCGAGCGAGAATCGGATCAAGATGGTCACCCAAACCCTGCGGATCATGGTCTCGTCAAACCACGAGGCTTGGGCATCTCGTCTTGTTGAAGCTGAGTTCGCTCTTAACTCTTCTGTTGCTGTGTCCACGTCGCTGTCGGCTTTTGAGGCAACCTACGGCTACCTTCCTCGACGTTGGCCCTCGGATTCCTGGTCTGTCTCGGACGTCCCTCGTGCGGAAGCGTTTGCTCGGATCCGACAATTACGGAACCTTGACGTGACGGATGCGATCATTGGAGCACGCCTCAACCAGTCCCATCAGGCCAACAAGCATCGACGCCCAGACGACCCCGCCTTTCGGACCGGCAGTTACGTCTATCTTTCGACAAAGAACCTGGCAGTTCCTGACGGCATGAAGTCGAAGTTGTTGCCGCGCTACATCGGCCCCTTCCGTATCCGAGCGGCCATCCCTGCGACGTCCAGCTACGACCTCGAGCTCCCTCCAGCGATGTCGCGAGTGCACAATCGTTTCCATGCTCGACTGCTTCGGCCTTGCGTTGAGAATGATGCTGAAAGGTTTCCTGTGTGAAGAGTCCACTCTCAGCTCGACAGGGGCGCCTCGGTCGTTGCGCGCACTTGCTAGCCCGCCCCCGGCGGTGGGGACTTAGACGCGCGCGACTGCCTCAGCGCGCCAGCGCCGGCGGATTCATGCGCGCGCCCGCTAGCCCGCCCCCTTGCGGTGGGGACTTAGGCGCGCCGGCGATTTCACCCGCGGCTGACTTAGGGATGTACATTGTCACGCGCCTGGGACTATCCCAGCGTGGCCCCCCCTTTCTGTTTCTTAGCTTCCTTCTCATCACTTCTGTTCGACTCTCAACCTCTCCTGACAGTAGTGGTGAACGTCTCATAGGTACGCTGAAATAGATCACTTCTGTTCGACTCTCAACCTCTCCTGACAGTAGTGGTGAACGTCTCATAGGTTATAAGCCCACGAGCCACCAGCTGGCATGACCACGACACCACCCCTCGCGACGGGTGCCAACCCTCCGATTCCCGCCGAACAGCTCGCCGCACTTACATCGCTGCTGTCGGGTCTCACCGCTGCCGCTTCCGGCACTGCCACACCCGCCACGACGTCCGGCACCACTCGCACTGCCTTTCCAAAGCACGCACGCTTGGATGGTGCGAAGACCTTCGCGAACTGGACACGCCAACTTCGCCTGTGCCTAGCGGACGACATCCGCTCGTACGTCCTCGACGGTATCGCACCCGACGACTGGACACCTTCGCAACGCTCCGCTCGCGACGCCGTCGCTCGTGAGGTCCTTGCGAATTCGATTGACTCGGCCGAAGTCTCGGCAGTCCTCGACAAAATCCCTACCGCCGACCTGACAGCGCCGACAATCTACTCGACGCTGAAATCGCGGTACGCCCCTGACGACGCCACCCGCACGCTCGAGCTCTTCTCACGACTCTGGGGTTTCCGTCCCATGCCCGGCACGGTTGCCGAATTCGACGGGTGGATCATGGACTTCAAAGCCGTTGCGCAAGAGATCATCGACACAAAGACAACTATCAATGATGTTCTCGCCACACTCCTCCTTGCAATCGCCCACCCGTCCCTCGAGAGCTTCAAGGCGTCGTTCACCGATGAACAGCGCACGCAACGAACTCTCCCCGACATTGATTCGCTTGCCGACCGTATGCGAGTCCAACTTCGGTCAACGAACATCCCCAGCACTCAATCGGCCCTTCTTGCCTCGTCGTCGTCACGTTCTACTCGTCTCAAGTGTCTCGCCTGTCGCAGCCCTTCGCACCGAGTCGCGGAGTGCCCTACGAGGGCGCAACACCCGCCGCCAGGACCCTGTCGCTCCTGCAAGAAGAAGGATCACTGGTCTCTCGACTGCAAGAAGGCGCTCGAGGACGGCAAAAAGCCCGACACCGCTGACTCGACCGTCGACTCGCAACACCATGTCGGATGTCTCGCCACCGGTCTTCTCGCTCGTCGTCGCCAGCTTCGCAACCACTCTTTTGTCGTCGACTCGGGCGCCACTTCGCACATGGTCTCGGACAAGTCGCTGTTCACGACCTATCGCCATATCGCTCCTACGAAGATTGGTGGTATTGCAGGGGGCATCAACGCCATCGGAACGGGAAACATCGCCTTCATTGCCGCCTCGGGTCATCCGATCACGCTTACCGGCGTGCTGCACACTCCGGGCCTGTTTGTCAATCTTCTCTCGGTCTCTCGACTTTGCGACACCGACGATGTCCGTGTCGCCTTCACAAAACACGGCATCCACATTGACAAGGACGGCAACGACATCGCTGAAGGCGCACGACTCGACGAAGGGCTCTACTTGCTGGACGCTGATCATTCCAAATGTCAGCACCTTGCTCTCCTTTCTCGCTCACAGTCGTCCGTGCCCCTGCTGACTCTCCATCGCTGCCTCGGCCATCTCGCACCGTCCTCCATACAGAAGATGGTTGCCGCTGGTTTGCTGGAGGGTCTCAGGGCCGGATATAGTGACGAAGAGGTAGAGAAGTTTGTCTGCAATGCTTGCCTCAGCGCAAAGGGCCATCGTCTTCCCTTTCCCGATTCGGATTCGCACTCCTCAGAGAGACTCGGCCTTGTACACAGCGATGTGCTTTCCTTCCCCGAGCGGTCCTTGACTGGCAAACGTTACCTGGTCACATTCCTTGACGATTACTCGCGCAAACTCTGGGCCTACGCAATCGGACACAAAAGCGAAGTCTTCGGCATATTCAAACTTGGCTAGCCGAGGTTGAACTCGAGACGGGTGCGACGCTGAAGGTCCTCCGAACCGACAACGGTGGCGAATACTGTTCGAGAGCGTTCACAGAGTTCTGCAAGACACGAGGCACCCGTCGACAATACTCTATCCCACGCACGCCTCAACAGAACGGTCGTGCAGAGCGGGTCAATCGTTCCATTGTCGAAGGCGTCCTTGCCCTCCTTGTCGACGCCCACCTACCCAAGACATTCTGGGAGGAGGCTGCAGCTTATTTTCGTTTACTGCAAGAACCTGTGTCAACACGCGGCCCTGGACAAGGCAACACCAAACTCCGTCTGGCAGGGTGACCACACCACTGCCTCGGCGCTTCACCCGTTCGGCTGTACAGCTTGGCTTACGGTCGCGCCCGAACTTCGCTCCAAACTCGACCCGAAGGCGGTTCGCGTTTTTTTCACCGGCTACGACCTGGCTTCAAAAGCCTTTCGCTTCTACGACACTACAACACAGAAGATTATACTTGGCAGAAATGCCACGTTCCTCGACACTGAATTCCCCGGATTACATGGCGACCCCACTGAGCAAGACGGCGACACGCACTTCGCCAGCGCTCCCACCACCGAATCTCAAACCGTTGTCAAGACATGGACCCCACTAGTAAGGTCGGCGCACATGGACGTCTCATCCCCCCTTGATGATTCTGCCATGAGCGCCGTTGACGTGGCCCCAGGGTACACTGGCGGAACCTTACTTAACTTCACAGATGCCGAATCGTCCTCGTCACCGTGCCTGCGTCGCCCTCATCACCGTCGTCTGCGCCATCGCCTGCACTTTCACCATCGTCGGCTGCGTCATCGTCACCCTCGGCCTTACCGACCGACTCTGAAGACTCCGCCGATCCCCTCGACCTCCTCGGCTCACAGCCCCAGGTTCGCCTCGATCTACAGGACGTGCACCACCCAGACTTCAGCACGTACCGCGAGCCCGCATCGGCTGAGGAGTCGCCCGACGAACTCGACCTCATTGGGCGCCACTCTCGCGACGAATCTCCGGACGAAATCGATTTCCTCACCCGACACCACCGCGCCTTCATCGCCATCGACGACGACACCTCTGACACAGAGGCAATTCAGCCAGTCAAGTCCATCACGAGCGACCCACAGACCTGGCGCGAGGCGATGTCTAGCGACAAGCGTGAAGTATGGGCCAAAGCCGCCACCGACGAGTTCACCTCCATGCGCGACGACTTCAAGGTCTTCACCATCGAGGACCGAGCCACGGTGCCGCGGGTGCGACTATCGTTACATCCAAGTTCGTCTGGAAAACGAAACGGAACGCACTCGGCGAAGTCACTGGACACAAGGCAAGGCTGGTCGCGCAAGGCAATCGGCAACGCGACGGCATCGACTTCAACGAAACGTTCGCACCGGTCGCACGCTTCTCCTCGATACGCTCACTCCTCGCGCTGGCGGCCGCCAACGGCTTGCACGTGCACCAGGCGGACATCGACAAAGCATATCTGCATGGCGACCTTGACCACGACATCTGGATGACGGCACCGCGCGGGCTTCGACCTTCCCAGCGACAAGGTGCTTCGCCTGCGACGCTCCATCTACGGGCTCAAACAGGCTGGCCCGAATCTGGAATCGACACATCGACGCTTCGCTTCGGGCCCTCGGTTACACGGCGACGGGCACCGACCACTGCGTATACTCTTGGCTCGATGATCGTCAATGTCCACACTACATCGCACTGTACGTCGACGACCTCCTGATGATCAGCCCGGAACTGGCCGAAATCGAACGTGTCATCTCAGGCCTGGACCAACGCTACGGAGTCAAGCGCCTCGGCCCGGCCGAGTATATCCTCGGCATCCAGATCAGGCGGTTCGACGACGGCTCTATCGCCCTATCCAGGAACGGTACATCATGGACGTGCTCGCTCGGTTCCACTTCGACACCACGACTCGCGGCACTACAGTTCCGATGACTCCCGGCCTTTCGCTCACTGCTATCCCGGGTCAAGGCACCGAACGGATCAGGTCATGGTATCTGCAGGCTATCGGCTCGCTCCTCTACATTTCGCTCGGTACCCGCCCTGACATCGCCTTCGCCGTGTCCTACCTGGCCCGCTTCGCCAACAACCCCGGTCGTCGTCATTGGATTGCGGTCAAGCACATCCTACGCTATCTCCGGGCCACGTATCGCAACGAACTCGTGTATGCTCGCGGCCAGGCTCGCATCACGGGTGTGGTAGGCTACTCCGACGCGAACTGGGGGGCCTGCATCGACACATCGGTGTCCACCATGGGCTACGTCTTCTACATCGCTGGCTCGGCCGTGTCCTGGTCGTCCAAACGCCAGTCTCGAGTTGCCGATTCGACCACCGACGCTGAATACCTCGCCCTCTCGCATGCTGGCAAGGAAGGGATTTACCTCAGTCAGCTGCTCGAAGAGCTCCATGTACAACCTGTTGCACCGGCTCACATCTTTACTGACAACGAAGCCGCTGCTGCAGTTGCTCACGATCCTGTCCGCGTCTCTGGCACTCGGCACATACGCTTGCGTGAGCACTTCGTTCGGGACATGGTGAATCGGGGCGACATCTCTCTCTCGCATGTGGGTACCAGCGACATGGTGGCCGACATCTTCACCAAGGCTCTCGGCCCAAAGGTCTTCTCAACGCACTGCTACGCCCTCGGCCTTCGCACTCGACACCCGCGGCTTGGGTCTGCCTCGCATTCGCGTGGGGGGGGGTGTGAAGAGTCCACTCTCAGCTCGACAGGGGCGCCTCGGTCGTTGCGCGCACTTGCTAGCCCGCCCCCGGCGGTGGGGACTTAGACGCGCGCGACTGCCTCAGCGCGCCAGCGCCGGCGGATTCATGCGCGCGCCCGCTAGCCCGCCCCTTGCGGTGGGGACTTAGGCGCGCCGGCGATTTCACCCGCGGCTGACTTAGGGATGTACATTGTCACGCGCCTGGGACTATCCCAGCGTGGCCCCCCCTTTCTGTTTCTTAGCTTCCTTCTCATCACTTCTGTTCGACTCTCAACCTCTCCTGACAGTAGTGGTGAACGTCTCATAGGTACGCTGAAATAGATCACTTCTGTTCGACTCTCAACCTCTCCTGACAGTAGTGGTGAACGTCTCATATCCTGGGCGTGACCCCGCAGTTCTTTTTGTCGAAGACGTAGCCGACGCAGCCGACAATTCTGCGATTCCGGAACGGATTGTTCGCGATTGGCGGAACGCTCGGGGCGCTCGTTCGTTCTTGGTTCGATGGGTAGGCGTAACGACACCGACGATACTTGGATGTCAGAGCAGTCCATTCGCCTTGACCATCGTCCGTCCTCGACGCCTACCTCGCGCGCCTCGATCGCTCGAACCGCCGCCTCGCCGCACGGTAGACTTCCTTCTGGGGGGGACAGTGTCAGGATGACAGCGTGTACTCGAAGGAAGCCCCCAAGGCTATGTGCGGGTAGAGTTGACTTGACCAGAGGCTTGCCTCGTTTCACAGCATCGTCGGTGCGATGGCGTAGTCGTGAGGCGCGCAGGCGCGCACTCGGTGGTCGCCGGGTTCGAGGCGCCCAGACCGCAGTCTTCTTTCGGTTTGTTTTATCTTTTGTTAGCCGAGGCGCGGCTTCAGGGTTTTTACCGGTGCTCCCGCGAGCATCCTTTTTACCCCTGAGGCGACCTCTTGGAGTGGTTGATTTGGCTAAGTCCCCTCTGGGCCTGGCACAGTCCCTTCCCTTTAGTTTACCACCTTTCCCTGGGAGCTTGGTCCGCTCTTCTCTTTTGTTGCCCCTCCTCTTCTTGTCGATCGTTTGGGAATTAAGTCCGTTACACTTGATTTCCTGCGAGCCTTTCGACCGACTCCCCTCCTCGGTTGCTCCCTTGTCGACTGCCGCCGCAACAGCCGACACTTCCTGAAATCCCCCCCCCCGTACCAACGCGTGTAGACGACGTCATCCCCTCCGACGTCGCTTGTCAGTCCTGGACGAGCAGTCGCCCCCACTCTCTGAGCCTGAGTCTTCAGCCTCCTCTCCGTTGCCGAATTTCACCAACGAACGCGTCGCTGTCCTTCCGACTTCCTCCACAGAGTCTGACGACGAACACGTTTATCCTTCCTACCCTTTCCGTCAACCGTCTCGTGCTCGCCTTCGTTCGCCCGCAATCGCCGACGTTTGAGTCACGAGATTGCCATGGCCGACGAGCGCGACGTGTACCGTGCCGCCGCCGATGATCGAGACGCTCCTCTCCGCGACGAAGACCCGGCCGCGCGAAACCGCCCAAGTCCCCGCCGCCTCAACCCTACCACACCGCCACCGCTCTATCGTCCCTCGAAAGCCGCCTCGAGGAAATCCGAAGCCCGTCGTATCGACTCCGAGGAACGTGTTCAGCAATTGGAGAAGTTGGTGAGGGTTTTTGAAAAGCTCACCTGAACCAGCTGCGGCGCGGGCCGGAGTCTCTGAACCAGCTGTGGCGCGGGCTGGATTCTCTGAACCAGCCGCAGCGCGGGCTGGGGAGTTTACGTTTACGCCGGTGAGATCGGTCCCCTTGGACGTTCCCCACACCCATTCTGGAACGTTCAGGCAATACCGCTGACCCCCTTGTTCGTTCCCCTGGGGGGGAATCTCACAGCGCACGAAGGGACGGCCCTTTCTCGGCAGTAATCAGCTCTCGTTGGAGAGGGACGTTACCTGACCGGGAAGGGCTATGGACAGGGGATAATCCCGATCGGTTGGTCACTTTCACTACATTTGGAAGTCGTACTTGTCTCTACTTTGCGACATTTCCACCAGCGACCTTTTTACCACCGACCGCGTCATCCAGCTTGTGGCGACCTTGTTCGTTCGTTCAACTTCTCCCAAGCGCCGTCAGTCTCCGCACGACTGGGCCGTTGATACTATGACGGACGCGCTCCGGACGAACGACCTCACTGTTGGACGACACTGATGACAGAAGTTGGACGTCGTTGGCCGGATCCTGGCTTTGCCGACCGAGTGTCCCACGACTTCTACGGGTGCCGACAGTCTTCGTCTCGCGCCTACGACCATGTGGGCGAATGGCGTGCCCGCTACCGAGCGTTTATGCACAACGACCCCAGCTTCAGCCTCTCGCCCCTTCAACTCGCCACAACCTTTTATCAATCGTTGAGTGATGTGGCTAAGCGGGAAGTGCGGGCTGGTATGCTGCGGGAATATCGGGATACTCACTCGTGACTA